GCGTGTGCGTGTGCGTGTGCGTGTGTCTGTGTGTGCGTGTACACGTGTTTCTCTGTGCATGCTCCCTTTACTTGGTGCTGTGTGTGTCCCTTCGATGTTCGCATTTGTTGACGCTTCACGTTTTGTGTGTGTGTGTGTGTGTGTGTGTGTGTGTGTGTGTGTGCTGGCGTGTTCAGACAAAGGATCTGCTGTCAGAGGTGCTTGGTGAAGAGTACGACGACGTGCCACGTACGAATGTCTTTGCTGCAATTCTGCTGTGTGCTGTGTCGGTGTGTGCTGTGTTGGTTTACACACGCACTTGCACCCACACGTGCACACTTTCAGAAGTTTGACACACACACATGCACCTGCACACACGCACATACACACACACACGCGCATATTTACACCCGCAGGCAGCCGCCGCACGACACAATCTCGCCGTCCATCCATCACTGTCTCGGATGCAGATGATATTGATGACGACAGCTTACGCCGCACCACCCCCACCGCTGCTACTGTTGCGAGCAGCACCAGCAGCAGCGCGTACACGGGCGAGCCGCTGTCTTCCTCGTCGTCGCAACACCTTCTCGAGTCGTCAGTCACATCGACGTCCACAGGCCTTGAAATGCAGCCACCATCACCGCCGGCAATCGCACCATCGCCAACAGCAGCAGCAGCAGCAGCAACAAATGTCACGTCAGCAGCAAATGTCACGTCAGCAGCGGACATCACGTCCGGCACCACGTCACCCATTCGTGAGGGGGCGAATGTGAGGGGCCAGGTGTTTCTTGTGCTGGAGAACCTCGTGGCTGAATTCAAGCACCCGTGCATCCTCGACCTCAAGATGGGTATGAGATTTGGACACGCGCTGGTTGCACTCGTTGTTGGTGGTTGGAGCGGGAGCGATTTGCTGCTGTTGTCGTCGTTGTGGTTGTTGTTGTGGTGGTTGTTGTGGTGGTTGTTGTTGCTTGTGTTCTGGAGGATGATACATGGCAGAGCTGCGACTGTTGGGCGAAGCAGATATCCTCATGCACACACACACACACACACACACACACACACACACACACACACACACACACACACACACACACACAGGGCGGCGACAGCACACGGACGATGCGCCGTTGGAGAAACGCCTGAAGCAGATTGAAAAGTGCCGCGAAACAACATCGGCGTCTATGGGGGTGCGGTGCTGCGGTATGCGCGTGTATTCCACGCCAACCAGCAGGTACAAGGTCTGGGACAAGCTGTTTGGACGCAAGATCAAGCGACACACTTTCAAAGTGCGTTGACAGCACATGTATGGTTGTGGGTTTGTGTGTGTGTATGTTTGAACGGTCCTCGCATGTGGGTGTTGCACGTGTTTGATCAAGACATGGTAACCAATCAACCAACCCAAGTACCCCATCCACCCCCTCCCAAATCACCAACCAACAACCACCTCAAATTCTTTGCACATTTGCGATTGTGGGTGACAGGATCTGTGTTTGAAGCAGTTCTTTGACAACGGGTGCGGCATTCGGTGGAAAGTGATTGAGAATTTGCACCGCCGCCTGCAGGAGTTGAAGGAAGACGCACTCAAACTCGACGGGTTTCGGTGCGTCGTGCACCCATTGCGATGTTGTGCTGTCGTGTTTGTGCTGCTCTTGTATCGTGCAGGTCACAACTGACATTTACATTTACATGCACATCACAATCTTACCAAGCACCTGGTTCCACCACCATCACCATGAATCATCACCAACCATCACCATGAATCACCACTACCGTGGTCATCTTCATCACCACGGCTGCAGGTTCTACTCGACGAGTCTGCTGATTGTGTACGAGGGCCACCACCCGGATCACGTGCAGGACAATCGCGTGGAGTTGCGTCTCATTGACTTTGCCCGCACGTCCACGCCGGTCGACCCAGACGGAAAACCGTGCGTAAAATGTTTGCGTGTGTGCGTGTGTGCGTGTGTGCGTGCGTGCGTGTGTATATGCGTGTGTGCGTTGAACAAGGTGCATTTGTGCTTGTCATCCATGAAACTTATCTTCATCCATCTGCCAAACACACAGACGAACACACACACACACACACACACTCACTCACACACACTCTCTCACATGTACGTATACGCGACAGGGGCGTTGACCATGGGTTTGTGTACGGCATCGAAACACTGATTTCGCTGCTGGACGAGATGCTGCAGTCACGTTTCAGCGTGCAGGCGAAGAAGAAGAAGAACAAGAAGAAGGGCAGCAAGAAGGGCAAGCAGAAGTGAGGCGCTGATTGTGGCACCTGTCACGTTCAAGGACATGACTCATGGCCCAGTCGCTTGTAGGAGTGTGTGTGTGTGTGTGTGTGTTTGTGGAGTGTGCGCGCGTTTGTGGTGTCGATTTGATTCCTGCTGCTTCTTCTGTAGCGTAGCGTCTTCACTTAGTAGGTGGGTGGTTTTAGAGAGACCTTGTTACATGGTGTCTGTCACAGCCACGCATTGACATTTGTGCTTCGTGTATTCGCTTGAAAAGGGGGGGGGGGTGTCGCTGCTAAGCAGCAAACATTCGTTTGAGGAACAGTCAACTATCAGAAAGAGGGAAAGAACTATAAACGATGAACTACCATCACACGTGCCCTCGACCTTACGCACACGCACACGCACACGCACGCACACGCATACACGTACGCACGCAATACGCAGCATATGTTGCTTGAGGAAGTGGGCCACTTTGTTTGATAACAACACTTGAGAGTCACACGTAACGTCACATTACATGATGCGACTCACAACAACAAAATCCAGTAACACATGTTTGCCCACTGCCAATGTAACAAATGCCATCGTGGCATGAGCCGGTTCATTCTGTCATATGCGCGCACTCACGCTTCTCCCTGTGGGCCAGAGGTCTGGTTAGCGCCCGAACGGTTGCGCGTGTTAGCCTCAAACTCTGCATCGTCCTCATAATCGCTGTCATCGGACATGGGGATGCGCACACCGTCATCGTCGACATCGCAGCACAGGTACCGCTGCAGCCGCTCCCGGTCTGGTGTGGGAGAGGAGGGTGGTGGTTGATGGTGGAGGACGAGGTGAGGAAACGTACAGAAATGGCGAGCAACTAGTCATGGTGGCACACACTGTGGTCACATGTTTCACACACAGTTGTGGCATGCTTCACATACAACATGCCTACTCACACAACTCCCACACACACACACAGACACAGACACAGACACAGACACAGACACAGACACACACACACGCACAGACACAGATAGACACACACACACACACACGCACGCACACACACACACACACACACACACACACACACACACAGTCACAGACACACGCGCGCGACTCACTTGCTGGCTTTGCGATGAGGGGTCGCAGCCGCGGTGTCGAGAAGGTGAAGATGCTTCCTGCCGGAGACGCAATCACAAGTAGCACCTCCGTGCCCGTCAGCACGCTCAGCTCATGGGCCTTCTTCATCAGGCCAGCCTTGCGCTTGGTGAAGCACACGTACCGCTTCGGCGCGTTCTCAATGTACTTGATCTGCACCTTGCCCCGCCGGTTCTGCGGCAGCTTTGACGTGCGCGCGGGTGGAGGGTGGTTGACCGTCGGCGTGGCTGTCGACGCAACAGTGCCGCCCTGGTTAGGCTGCTTGGGTGCCGTGGTGGCGTCTGGGTTGGCATTTGACACCGATGACTTTGATTGATGCTGGCGGCTGCGGTGTATGCCAGGCCCTTGCAGCAGCTCGCTCTGTGCCGTGCCAAACATGGCCTCATCATCATCATCGTCGTCGTCGTCGCCGTCATCATCATCACCGCCATTCACGGCACCCGCGCTGCCGCGTCCATTCCCACCCTTCTTGTGCTGCTGCTGCTGCTGCTGCTGCTGCTGTTGTTGTTGTTGTTGTTGCATGTTGGGCACATGTGGATGGAACGAGAATGTTCCTTGCTGAAAGTCCCTCTGCTGAGGCTGGTACGGGTCCATGGTCATGGAGGGGGGAGCGCCAGACGGAGGCGTGCGGTAACCACGATGGGCGGGCGTCAGGCCTGCCGGGTTGGGCGATGAAGCCATGTACTCACCCGATACACCAGCTGCCACGGGATGGGGATAAGCGTAGTGCTGCTGCTGCCCGCGGTACGCTGCTGCTGCTGCAGATGACGATGATGACGACTGCCCATAAGCGGGAAATTGGGCATGCATGCCAGCGGGTGACATGACCATCGGGTCATAGGAGTAGACACCACCGCTGGCATCGGGCACGCTTTCCGGCGAGTGTGGCTTCGACCGCTTGCGGCGCTTCTTCTGCTTCTTGGCCTTCTTTCGCTTGTGCTTCTTGGGTCGTGCGGGCATGCCACCGGCATCTGCCAGCATGGCTGGGTCATAGTACCCTCTGTTCATGGGAAAGCTGGCCAGTGCCGGGTTCATGGTGGGGGCAGCCGTGACAATTGCGGACACCATGTCACTTGCACCAAGCTGGCCTGTGCCTGGGATCGAGTAGGTGGGGCTGGCGGCCTGCCACGGCTGCCCTTGCGGCATTGCGGAAGACGTTGGGCTGAACAGGGTGTCGTACACGCCCTGTGCAGAGCTGGAGCGCGGAAAGTCGGGCTGGCTCAAGGCAGGTGGCAGGAAGGAGCTCTGGGCTCCTGCCGAGCGAAGCGACGATGATGGAATGGATGACACCTGCTGGTGCTGCTGCGGTTGTTGTTGTGTGGAATCATACACGCTTGGGCCACCAAAGCGGTGCTGTGTCGGGGTAGAAGCTGGTGTTGGCGGTGTTGTTGGTATTGTTGGTATTGGTACTGTTGTTGCTATTGCTGTTGTTGCTGTTGGTGTTGTTGTTGTTGTTGTTGGTGTTGTTGCTGACGATGAGAGGGGCTGTTGATCGCCGCCTGCCGCGCCGACTTGCCTTGGCATGGCGCTCACGTTCTTCACCTTGGACTTTGGAGGCGATGAGACAACAACAAAACCCAAAACAGCAAGCGGCCGGACGACGCTGCGTGTGCTGGTGTGTTGGTGGAATAGTTGGCGTGTTGGTTGGTTGGCCGTCGCTTGTTTTGGCTGTTGCCGTTTTGGGGAAGTGCCACGGCGAAAAATGACCGCATCTTTCGCCACCATTCCAAATCCAGAATAATAAAAAACACAGCATAAAACGTAGTAAGTAATGATGCTGGGCAAAGGTCGGCCGCGACTACGACGTGCGGCTGGTGGTGGCACGCTGCAAACGACACCAACACCGACACCGACCACGACCACGGCTGGTGGGAGCGGGAGCGGTAGCACGGACAGCGGCAGTGGTAGCGGGAGCGATCATCATGCGAGTAGCACTGTGACGAGGAATCTCGGGGGCAGGATCCCGCCCGGCACAGCAGCAACAGCGCCAGCTTCAGGGACTGGTTTTGGGCGTGGGAGGCCGCAGCTCAAACGTGCTGCTGCTGCTGCTGCTGCTGCTGCTGCTGTTGGTGATCGTGGTGATCGTGGTGGTGGTTTGAGCTGCGATGTCACAGCGACTGCCACGACAGCCAAAACACTGGCAATGACAGGTGGGTCGAGGCCAAAGCCATTGGGAAAGGGGAGACCGCAGCTGCGTCATCGTGGTGCTTCTAGTGGTGGTGCTGGTGTGGCCATTAAACCTCCGACAACAGCAACAACAACAACAACAACAACAACAACAGCAGCAGCAGCAAAAGCAGCAGCAGCAGCAAAAGCAACGGGCACAACGAGCAAAAGATGCAGGAGAAGAACAAGTGAGATGCAGATGACATCAACAACAACAACAACAACAGCAGCAGCAGCAAAAGCAGCAGCAGCAGCAAAAGCAACGGGCACAACGAGCAAAAGATGCAGGAGAAGAACAAGTGAGATGCAGATGACATCCTCGCCTTCACCACGTTTGGCACACAACCCCTCCCAGCTACAACTTGGACGTGGAAGACCGCAAATCAAGTCGTCAGCAACGACAGCAACGAACGCCCCAACATGCACCACCAAGTCCGCGCAGAGTGCTCAGCCGTCGTCATCTGCAACAACACCAACAGCGCGATTGACGTCGCTGGGGCGGGGCCGACCAGCGCTGGCAGCCTCCCACGCTACAGGCTCCCACGCCACAAGCCCCCACACCACATCCTCAACACCACATGCGTCTACCGCGTCGAACCGTGGGGAGATGAAGGCCAAGCGAGCGCGGCTGGGCACAGCACGACCTGCCCTGCAACCGCACACGACTGCTCGTCTTGGCGCTGGCAGGCCACCGCTAGTGGGCAGCAGCAAACCTGTCGATCAGGCCGCAAACCAGCAGCTGCTGCAACCACAATCTCGCACACCAGCAGAAGGAGGGCCTTCGGATGCCACCACAGCGAAAGCAGCTTCAACACGTGCGCCCACAACAAGATTGACGCCAACGGCAACGCCGACGGTGATGCCATCATCATCATCATCAGCAGCAGCAGCAACAACAGGAGCAGCAACAGCGGCGGCGACATCAGCGCCACATGCACAATCGACACCACCAGCAGCAGCAGCAGCAAGGCAACGCAAGCCCCGCATGTTGTCGCTGTCATCCACATCAACGGGACGGGCGTTTGCAGGGAGAATACGTGCCACGCGTGCAGGTGTCTTCTCTGGCGAGCGTGGCGCTGTTGTGTGCAGCACCACACCAGCGTGCACGCCCAACAACAGCAGTTTCGAGTGCTGAGCGTGGCGGTGATGGTGGTGGGCAATGTCAGCGCTGGTT